GAAGACAACGTTTGAGCGTGTACACATAATACCTGAGCGAGAGCAAAGCCAATTCATAAAAACAATATTTAAAAGCACACGTCCAGTTTTGTGTGAGTGAAGGAAATCCGCTTGGGAGTGGAGAGATTCGTCCTCGCGCACACGGATCGCGTAACATTATGCGCTCTCGACATTTGTCATTAAGATCACACTATAGAAACCGCCTAAAATTAAGTATAAAGAAGAGAAGAAAGCGGCCCTAAAAAATATTTTAAGTCTGACCCTTTACTGCTCAGTTCAATTATTTAGAATAATAAACATATATATATAAAATAGTTTAGGAATGCCCTCAATGCCCTCATGACAGAAGACAATATTTTTTCATCGAAAAGACCTGTCTCTCGGATAAACATCTAAAAAATCTAAAAAATAACTTTTTGTTTTTTCAAGCAGTTCCGTTTTCAGCGACGCACCCCTCCCCTTTCAGAACTCGCAGCGGTCCGAAATCACACCACTTGTGTCTAGTTAATTTACTCATTCGTCCCTCATTGGTCTGTCTACTTAAGCTTTAGTTTGTTCAGTTTGTCTTGGTCCGTGTGTTACTGCCTTCCTCTGTGTGGATTAATTAAAGACTATTTACTCTTCATCTTCGTGTGTTTTCCTCAACACAGTAAGCGTGACAACCACTAATGCAGTTTTATTAAGTACCAGCCATTTTCACATTTTCAACTAATAGTAATTAATGTTTATGTCCAATAGAATGGTTTCTGAAGGATCATGTAACACTGAAGACTGGAGTAATGATGCTGAAAATGTGTTCTTGCCCCCATAGAAATAAATTACATTTCACAACTTTAAATTGTAGTAATGTTTCATAATGTAACCATATCTTTTTACTGTTTTTACTGTATTTTTGATCAAATGCAACTCTGGTGAACAGAATAGGTTTCTTTTATAAACATTTAGACCTCAAACTTTTAAACTGTAGCGTATGATATAATCTAGGATGAGTTAAAGTTATTGTAATGTTATATTTACAAAATCTATTATTTTTTACTTCATGATTGTACAGACACCAGATGCTCAAGTTCCAGCCCCTGTCCCCAGAGCCACTGCAGATGTGTCCAGTCCCGCTCAGCCATGCAGTATTGTCTCCGTAAGTAATTTCCTATTCTGTTGGTCTAAAAATGTAATTAAATCAGTCGCCAAAAAGTCGCCAGACAGCTGACACCATTCTTAACACTTTGGAAAGTAATTTATCTAATTTGTTCTTTTCACTTAACAGAGATGTTAAAAGGCTCACATGCCCTGAAATTTTGAATATAACTTTTATAACCAGTAGTTTCTTAAAACACATTCAAGCTGAGAAAAAACAACAATCAAACTATTGTCATAATGTCAATTGAGTTTACTTGATACTGATTTATCAATGATAAACAATGTATATATGTTAACATTCATGTGTCAAAATAAAGAGATATTGTTTGTAAAATCTCAGAAATGTTTTATTTCATATATTAAACAGGATTTCAGAATAATTATTTTGTTACTTTTTTTTGGATGACAGCAGTGTGTAATGTAAAGTTATCAGTTTCATTGTCATGATCACTGTAATACTAAAGGTATTTAAGTGAAAACTATTATTGCAATGATAATTTCATGTGAAGGTAATCATGGATAAAAATAAACTGCTTAAAAAGTGCTTAAAAAATAAAATGACCTTACTTGACTAAATGTTTTGTCTTTTTTCCTTCACATACAGCTCATTCTGGGGCATTATTGCAAGGTCCATCTGTAGTTCCGCTTCCTCGTTTGTGGTCGGAGACCTTGCCACCAGAGGATCACAAGTGGATTGGCAAAAGGCTTTTCAAAATGGGATCCAAGGGAAAGCCAGGGCTTCGTGATAACCTCCAGCTCTGGTATTACCCACCACAGCCAGCACTTATTTACAATCAGGCTCCAGCTCCAGACAGATTCTTTTGTCATTCTTTTCTGCTGTGGATGCCGTACAAGCTGTGGAGGGTTAAGGTTCTCTGTCCCAATCCTGCCTGTGGACAACATCAGCTGACAGGAGGTGGTCTGCACAAAAGGTCACGGCAGGTTCTAGACATTGACAGAACGTACAACATGGTCACAGAAACCCTCATCTGTACCAAGTGTAGAGCCTCGCATGTGTCCTGGAGTCAGACTGTCCTGCAGCAGCTAGATCTGGGCCATCGCTCTGAGTTTCAGGTCATCCTCACGCGGAAGTAAGTACACTTTCATTCCTCATCCAGTTGTTAGCCCATCATCACATATATAAGCAAATACTTTACAAATCAAATATCTAAAATATATGAATGTGTGGATTTTGCATTTCCTAAGGTACGCCTGTGATATGCGGGTCATCCGGCTCCTGCGTGAGCGTGGCTTAGGCAACAGCCCCACGCGGGTGATCAAGCAGCTGCGTGAAAACCACAGCGAGCAGTGGCTCCATCGTCTGGCCCGGTACACCACCCAATGCGTTGACTTCCTCAATCAACCCGGGGTGATGCCAGTAAAATTCCAGGAGCCCCCAGAGCCTACAGTGGTGCCAAGCTGCAAGTGGCTGCTCACCGTTTACAGCCAAGACATCCTGACAAGGCTGGATGAAATCCATGCAAGGATAACATCCACCTATGGCTCTGTCTTGAAGATGGATTCTACTAAAAAGGTTAGTTGTGGATTTGTTTATTAATGCTGTTGTTTATATACCAGCATGGCACTGTATTTTACATGGTGTGATGTTTGATTATATTTACAGCATGCTTCATATCATGTCTTATTACAGATCACCAAGAAGCTGGCTGGGACAGCGAGGGGAACGGGACTCTGGCTTACCTCTGTTGGCAATGAGTTTGGTCAGGTGCTCATAAGTGTGCTGACAGCCCAGGAAGGAGCAGGACTGGACATGATGGTAGACGGTCTGGTGAAAAGATACCAGCAGGCTGGTGTGGATCCACCTGCTGTGTTGTACGTGGACTGTGGGTGCTGCACCGAGGTGGGCGAGACCAAGCTGAAAACCAGATTCAGAGGCTGGCCAGATCTCGTGATACGCTTGGACATCTGGCATTTTATGCGCAGGATTGCCTTGGGGTGTACAACTGATGCCCATCAGCTGTACCCCATCTTCATGTCACGGCTATCAGCATGCATCTTTGAATGTGATGCGGCTGATGTCTCTATGCTTCGAAAAGCAAAGAGAGAGCTGTTGATGTCCCAGGGTTGGCCTGCGCTGACAGATGACGATGCCAACAAGCATCTGACCAGGGAGGAGCTGGCTCTACATTGCCGGAGGAGGACCCGTGGAGAGGAGACTACCATCCTTCACCTTGAACGACTGCTTACCGAGCTCCTGAGCAGCAAGGGCAATGACTCCCTGGGTGTTCCTCTCCTGGACCGAGAAAGGATGGAGCACATCTGGAGTGTCCAGAAGAAGCACGTCAAGTGTATCCAAGACCCCCCTGGTGTTGCGCTCTATACTGAGACCGGGAGCTTAACCAAGGGAGGTGTGCTTCTGAAGACATACAGATGTGCCAGAGGCTCCACTTCTCTTGAATCCTTTCATTTACACCTTAACCGTTTCATCCCAGGTACGTCTTTGTCACACACACTGTGCGTATGTAAAGAAAGAACATTAAGTGTCTTTGTGTGTTTAACACTCCCTAAAAACTGTTGTGTCGGTTTACAGGGACCAGTGCAAACAGTCTGAACTTTCAGATTTATTTGCTGGAGGGTCTACACCGGTGGAACCAGGATCGGGAGGCTGCTTCGCTGTCATCGGAGCCATCAGCTTTGCGCAGCTACACAGGAGAACTTGTTCACTGTGTAAACCGCAATTATGAAAAGCTGTTTGGCAGGAAAGTGGTCCCCACGTTTTGTCCTCCTGCACGTTACACCGGTAAGAAAATTTTATTATTGTTAATTAACTTGCAATTTCTGTGTAATCTCAGGCGATATTTTATATTTAAGCCTATGAAGTCTACTGTATCTGTGTTTTAGACCTCTAAATTATCAACATGATCAAATTTTTTTCTTGAAACATGCCCTCTTGTCATCTGATTGATATTTTCTATCAAGTAAAAGGCCTTTCAGTATAATTGTACAAACGTCTACCTCATACTTCACATGTCATTTTGCTGTGAAATCTTTACTATTAGAAAGTAATTGTTATTTTTAGAAAGAATAACTTGGATATTATTAGTAATATTTGGTGACCATTTACTGTACTGAGTATAGGTTTATGGCCTCTGAATTTTTTTTTTCTCTTCGACTATGAGCTCCATGTTCTCACACTTACACTATATGAGCTACAACAAATGCCTTATGTATCAAATATGATACACAACAATTGTATTTAATTCCTGTTTGTTTTTATTCCAGGTGAGCTCATTGGAGTGCAGTATCTGTTCCAGCAGACTGGACAGGCATTGCAGGACATGAACCCAGACTCTGAAGAGACGGCAGAACTCATCGAGGACCTTAATGTGGAGGAGCGAGAGGAAGATGAGGGCTTCTGTGACATCAGCGAGGATCACACCATTGCAGATCCAGAGGTTGTTCTGTCACCACCCTCCTCCACACTGACACTGGGTTCTTCCACCCTGGTCACCAGCAGTGACACGGCTGTACTGGGTTCTACATCCCCTTCACTGGTCCCTGACCCCACACAGTCTCCTTCATCACCTGGACCCTCAGGGACTGCTGTCTCACCGGTTCCCTCTGAAACATCTGTTTCACCACTCCCCTCAGAACCAGAGGATGCTGGTCAGGATGATGATGAAGAGACGGTAAGTGCCACTCCTCTGTATTTCTTTCAAATAAACTAGAATAATTCAAACAAGGATGGATCAACATTTACTTCTTACTACTACTTTAAATCCAGACTTTGCTCAGATTTTAAACAAGTCATTAGTAGGCAACAAAGATGCATCGAGTCAAATCAGTTTTATTCCGTTAGTGCTTTGTACTATACAGATTGTGTGAATATAACAGAATCAATGGAACTATGTGTCAAACAAATGTGATGGGAAAAAAATTATATTTTGTGCTTGTTGTTTTATATTTCTGTGTTGACTACCAAAATGTCCCGGGATATCAACATGTGGACAGGCTGGCAGAATATCTGGTGGAGCTCCGGGGTCACACAGCCCTCAGCCTGGCCAATCAGGAAGCTAACGCCATAATTGCACTTTGGCAGAACCTGGATGACCGGGACAAGCAACGGTTGGTGTATGCAGCTCGACACCAGAAGAGACTGCTGAGTGGACGCTTCAGAGTACCAAAGAGGCCCACTCACACCCCTGGAGTAGAGAGCACCATCAGAAGTGTGCTGGGTGCAAGCAGTCCACCTGCTCAGTGGCCTGACTGTTGCTGTCTGGTGGAGACCATCT